ACAATTCAAACCTTTGGCTACCCAAGTATCCCTGTAAAACATTTTTCTTACATATCACGATGCTCTTCCAATTCTGTGACAAGTACTCCAAAGTTGCACTGATTGCTACTTCCAGCTCAAAATCCAGGATATCTCAATAATTCAAAATTAGTTCTAGAGGTGACTCCAAGTGGTCTGGCAAAACACACTAATAAATTAGTTAACTGCTCCCTGCTCCATTCTATATGCATATATTATACTGGAACAAGATAGCTATAATGAAATGATTGTGTTTGGAAAGTGGAAGAATGGGAGACACACATCAATCATTGGTCAATAGCAGTGATGAAATTCTGTTAGACATGTGCTAATTGCAGTGACCTTGCAGTAAGATCCCAGTTCTTCATTTAGAGAATCACTCCTTTGTCTATTCATAAGCATGCCTCTTTTTTTTTTTTTAATATTTTCTGGAAGTTAAAATTGGACTGGAATCTTCTAGTCCTTCCCATGTGTCAGTCATTGGTTTCAACGTTTGTTTTCCGCAAGAGCCTGCCTTATGTACTGACTTTTATTACCCTGCCCGTATTTATCTCCCTTTTATGTGATAGTGGTGACCATGGAATCCTTTGAAACATATGTTTGAGCAGGCAGGTCTGGCTTGCCTGAGAGTCTTAATGGGAGGTTTCTGATCAAGACTGAAAGAGAGTATCATCTCCTGCTATATAGAGTACTGTTCACATTTTCATTTCTGCAATTTTCTACATTTCTGTTTTTTTTTTTGGTTTAGATTTCTGACTTCAAGAAAACAATGTCCTAAGAGAGCTTTAGTCCTTTTTCTTGCAAGATGATCAATTTTCTCCCTGTAGACAAGATCATCTCTCCATGTATACCTGACTATATAATCTAAGATGCTGTCAACACACATTAGTATTTTTGTCCTTTTCTTCGCCTCTTCCAGACATGCCTCCATAGATAGACTTCTGGATGCAGTGGGAAGTTGATAATAAGAGAAAATACCAATTCTGTCACAGATAAAATGCTGTATCATGCTTTTCATAGAACTCAAAAATACTAGATATTTTTTTTGACTTTGTCTTATATTTTTAATTAGAAAATTATTTGATGAAAATAACTTGAAATGTGAATTGTGACTTGAAATGTCACAGAAAGGAATTTCAACTCATTGATAAACCTGAAAAAGTACTCAATGTCCTAGCTCATTGTCATTCTCCAGCCCTGCTTGGTCATAATAGTTTATAATAATTACCAATGAAAATGATTTTTTTCAGGCCCTACACCCATGTTTCTTTCATTTCATTTCTTTTAATGTTGTCTACTTCTATCTCAGCACCCACATCTGTGGCATATGCTCTGAATCATGTCATTAACAGTAAATGTGATCCCTCTGTAACCCCCACCCTTTCATCAGCCCTTATCTTTTCAGTTCATGTCCTGTGATACAGAAACCCTAATATGTTTTTACTATATTGGGACATACAATTTCTTGATTATACCAGATTTTCACTGTCATGTATGCTGATAGTTACATCCCTTCCTAACCTATTTGGATTCCATAGCACACCATTATAACACACTACACCCAATACATTGTTCCTCTCTCCATTAATTACACTTGTTTGCTAAGGTGATATGTAACTGTCTGTCTTCTTGGTTTTCACTTTGATGCATTTGCATGGAGTTAGTTAGAAGAAACAAACAAAAAGAAGCAACATACAAACTATTCCCACTTTCAATTCATGATCACTAATTTTCAGAGATACATAATTGCCAAATAACCATTACTTTCTTCTGTTTCCTCTCCCACTCTCTTAAACAATACCATGTTTGCCATCTTTTCTGTTTTCACCTCCAACCTCTTCTGTAATCATCATTTCCACCTATTTTACTAAAAAAAAATAGAACCATAGGGAGAAAAACAAAATTTTCATAAAACTTCCACCTACATATCTACCCACCAACCTCCATGTATTCCCATATGCTTGACCTTCTCTCCTGTTATTGTAGATGAAAAATTTTAGCAGCACTGTGATTAAGAACGGCCTTGTCTGGGCAGTAAATTATGTTAGTAGATTACCCTGATTTCAACAATCCAAGAATTATATTTTTAGGAAATTAACATCTATTCCAAAAACTTTAGGATTTATTTAAGGTCATTAATCGATATGCAGATCAGTGATAATTGCAATATGCTGTATTTGCATGATCCGATACTGTAGCCAGCAGTCGTGTACACTATTGTTTGCTTTATTATTTTGGAAATGTGGACAGTATGATGGAATAAGGAAACATTTATTTGTATTAAATTTTAATTTCTTTAAATTTAAATAGCACACAGGGTTGTGGCAACTGTATTGGACAATACAATTTTAGAGACTTAATAGATGGAGTGTTGCAGAGTTCGATGACATGGAGAGCATTTAAGAAGATATTGCATTAGAGAAGTGAGAGACTCTCAGAGCTGGAACAAAAGTCTATGATCCCTGAGCTCTAATACTGAAATCTTTTCTGAAAACCAGAAAACTTTAAAAAATGAAAATATTTCCGTATTTCTGTTCATGTAAAATTTGACCCTGAAATTATTTGGTGCAATTCCTACACTGCATTTTATTCTTTCCATTTAGTATAAGTATTTGCATATTTAACTGAAGAAATAACAAATGTTTTAAAGCATAGGTTATTCCTGGGATATATTACATAGATCTGGTGATGGAGCATATTTTCTTTGTAATATCTGAAATTGTTTTTACTCTAAATATGATATCTGACTCATCAGGATTATGGATAAGAACTGGAAGCATGTAGTAACAAGTGCAAGTGGAGATGGGATTTACGGGTGAGAAAGAAAGGGCTTTTCTTCCTAAAGAAAGGTTTAATCAATAAACCTTGGCAGTCAAATGACATTGGGAAATGCACACAAAGTAGCTTGAAGGAATATTCCGTTTTTAAGTTGCCTTAGGAGAGTGATTAGTACTTTAACAAGTCTCAGAAGGAGGAATGGATATGGATCTGTGAAGAGAATTTTAGAAATTTATTCAATTCTGTTTTGCAGGCTGAGTTTCAGTTTAATTTATATAAATAAATGGAGATTACTGCCTAGTTGAATATTCTATTGTTTTTCTTTCCCTGTATCAGTTATCCATATTGATTAAAATTATATTTTTTTCAACTGTTCCAATACCTCTTTTTGCAATAAATATTTTATAACAATACTCTCTTTACTAACTTGGAATAAAATTCAGCATAAATACAACCATTTATACTCATGCACTTTAAATAATATGCTAGTTGCAATATCAAGGAGATGAAGAAGGAAAATTATTTTCCTGTAAAATATCAGAGGTATCAGAGTATGTATTAAGTATCAGAGGTATGTATTTTTAAAAATATCGTCCCCTCACCTCCCTGATGCTGCAAGGGGTTAAGTCTCAACACTATGAAGCAATCAGCAGCCACTGCAACATGAGTTCATCCCTAGCAAAGGAACTGACCCACATGGCACAGCAGACCTTTCCTGTCTTGCCTGCTGCTCCCCTCAGTAGTATATTTCAGTAGATCCCCCTGTTTTGCTCCCCACTCTGTCTCTGGTGAATACTTTCACCCTTCCCGCACCTCTGGCCTGCACCCCAGCTCTTGTATGCATAAATAAATAAATCTTTTAAAAAATAAAATAAAGATCCCTAAAGATCTATGTGTATAAGCAAACAAAAAAAAAAATAATAACACACACACAGAGAGAGAGAGAGAGAGAAGCAGTAGAAGGCCATTAACAGAGACTTGTTTTTTTTTTTTTTTAGAGTAAATTCTGAGATTTAATAATAGCATACAATTTCTTCTGTAAAATGTGAAAGGAGAAAATAAATAAGGAAATGAAAGATAAAATAGTAGGCTCTTTCATATTCTAATCATATTATCAAAACAGGGGTAAGGTGGATATTTATCTGTACTGAACATTCCTTGAACCATTTCCCAAGTGACCTTTTCTTGTTTCTTTTTAAATTATATGGTTTGTGTGTTCATTTTGTATATTTGGCTCACTTAAAAATTCAACCATCTATTTCTTAATTTAGCTAAAGCTGCTATTTTCTGCCTAAGAATATTTGTTTTCTTAGAACTTTAAGCATAGTCTTTATTTTGAAGACCAGCTTTGTGTTTGCTTGGGAGGGAAGGTTTTGTTCCAAAATAAACAGTACTTTCATCACTTATCTGGGGCAAGAAAATAATGTATGTGGACAGAGTTGCATCATTCCCCTTCAAATGTGACTTATAACCTCTACGGTGTCCTCATCTGTGGCACACTACTGCTTTTATACCATTGGAATTCAGTTGCCATTTCTTATCTTTCCTAGTTGTACCTTATCATCTTTTGAGTTTATGGCATAAGGTCTTAAAGTATAATTTAAATTCAAATTTATTCTAACATTCATTTTATGATGTTATATTTTTATCATATAGTTTATTACTTATAGATAATATAAATGAGTCACATCTTTTAATATTTAGTTTGTCTTTATGCTGTGTGACTATTAATTTCATAAATAAATACTGTTTTAAATCAACATTACTGTTCTTCATATGTAGTTTAGGGAAAGTGGTTTGGTCTACACACTTTCTAATAATCCAGAAGTAGGACAAAATCTAATCATATGATCATGTCTAACTGGAAGGGGGACTGGAATTTATTTTCCAGATTGTACCTAAACCTACCTACATCTCACCTCTTTGTAGAAATGGGCATAGGAAAAGTACACATTTTGCAGAAGACTGCCAGTTTTGTTAAAGACAGAACAAGGGCTAAAATCCCTTTCCTTCTTGATCACTTAACTCATCTAGTACTCTTATGAAATATTTTTCCCTGGGGAAAATTGCACATGTAAATACATCTCTTAACTAACTGTGTTTATATGGAAAGTAATTTTATTCATTGTTTTATTTTTCATATTTTTAAAAATATTACTATTCTTAGGTAAATTATTCTAATTTACCTATTTTATTTCAAACAGATCATGTTGTTTGTGAAGAAGAGTTTAAATACGCCATGTTAGCTTTAAACTGTATATGCCCAGCAACATCTACACTTATTACCCTACTGGTTCATACCTCTAGAGGGCAGTAAGTATGTTTTTTCTTCAAGTTAATGCATTTTAAATTAAAAAATAATATAAGTTCAGTTATGTGATTTAGAAAAATAGTAAGCTAAGATACACCACTGGATATGTACCTATACTTGTAAGAGTTATCTTCATCTAATAGATCAGTGGGTAGAGAATACAGAGAGATTTATTAAGATATCCAAGACAATAGTGTTTTGCTATTTTTTCTAACTATACTTGAGATCATTTGTTTTATTTGAAATTTTAAATGTCTATATCATTTGTTCGGTTTAGGGTTAGTTTCTATTTTTGAGATTAATTCTTAGCAAATAAAATTTTAAAAAACAGTGTGATGACAGTCACTACTGTAATTCCTTAAGCCAATATTATCTATTCTTGAGGTAAGTTTTTATTTTAAAACTATATGTACACAATTAAGCTCAGAATTATAATTTTGCAACTATCACAGAATAACAAAGTAGTTCATAAAATTAACATATTATAAAAATCATCTTTTTATATTTGTTTCAAGGTAGATGGGGGAAAATCATATAATTGGAAACTTTTTGGTTATTCTTTGTTTATTTTGGTAGAGTTTCACAAAATACACAGGTTGTTTTGTCTTGATCAAGGGAAAAAACTAAAATAGTCATGGCTCCTGTTAGAAACATTTCATACTTTTTCATATTTGCTACTTATTATTTTAGACCAAATGCTGATTTTCTAAGTAAGATCTACTGTGAAACTTTTGATTTTGATTATTTAAATTTAGCAATCTAATTGATAGCTCCCTAAATGAAGCGGCAAGTAAAATAAATCAAGGGAAGTTCTTTCTTAGGATTTAATACTCAATGAAATAAGTTGCTAAATGAAAAGTAGCAAATGCCCCATGATATTTTTAAGTAGCTTTTAACTATCTTCCTTGCCATTATGTTTCTGTTCTTTTGGGGCAATAAATTTTTTCAGGAGCAATTTTCTTAAATTTCTGATTAGAAATATTTCTGTTCTGTACATTTATAAATTTTCATTCTGTTCAATAGAAAAAATACAACAGGATCATGAATAAAATACTTTTTCTCTGTATAAAGTACTCAATATTTTGATGAAATACTCAAAATCTTTGTTAATATCAAATAATTGACCATTCATAGAACTTATCACATGGGTCAATTTTTATACTATCTTTGCCATAGAAGCATAAAGCTGAGAGTTGGCTCTCTTATTACAGCTTCATTGTTATGCAAATGAAAACACATCAACAGTAGCATTCATCACTACTTATAGACTGAAGTTAAATTACACTGTCCAACTATAGTAAATATTATTTATTGGCTCACAACATTGCCTGATGAATAGATTGCATGTGACATAGCTAAAAAGACCATTAAAAAGACTTTTTCCAGATACTCCAATGAATTTTAAAATTGTATTTAAATTATCATATATATTAAATATTAAAATCAAGTTATAACATATTTAAAAAGAAAGTTATGTTATTGAAGATGTTATCACATAGTTAAGGATTTCCATAAATACAATTGACCTGCAAAATTATTCACATGAAGTATCAGAATAAATGCTTTAGTCCCCCAGAATAACCTCCTTTATAGCTTTGAGATACAATTAAAATTCCAAATAATTCACTAATTAAAAATGTACAATCCGCTGTTTTACAGTACAGTCATAGAATTGTGAAACCATCACCACTGTGTAACACCTGAATATTTTAATCGTCCAATAAAGAAACTGTCTACCTTTTAATAGTGACCCATATTTCCCCTCATTCTTTCCAGCTCTTGGTACATTGATCTACTCTGTCTCTGTAGATTTTCCTATTCTGGATATTTCAAGTAGATGAAATTATACAATTTATGTGTGTTTTGGCTTTTTTTTTTTGATTGGCTTCTTTGCAATTAGCAATATATTTTCAAGGTTTATCATATTGTAATATGTGTCAGTAATTCATTACTTATTATGACTGAAAGATATTCTGTTCTATGGATATATCACAACTGGTAATTATTTGATTTGTTCCCAGCAAAGTGAGTAAGGCTGCCCTTAACTGTCATGTGAAGGTTTCTGTGTGGGAATATATTTCATTTCCTTTGGGTATATATCTGGGAGTAGAATTGTTTGGTGACCTGGTGACTCTGTTTAGCCTTTAGGAACTATCAGAATGTTTATCAGACTGTAACATTTTCTATACACACAAGCAATGTGTTAAAGTTTCAATTTATTTCTTCATACTCTCAATAGCATTTTCTACTATCCATTCCAGTGGATGCAAAGTGTCATCCCTCATTACAGTTTTGATTTGCATTCCACTGGTGGCTAATAACATTGAGCATTATTTCAAGTCTTTATTGGTCATTTATATATCTTCTTTGAAAAGAACTTGTTAAGATCCCTTGCCTATTCTTTTAAATTAAATTTTTGCCTTTGATTTTTTTGAGTTGAAAGTGTTCTTTATATATTCAACATACTTGTTCTTATCAGATATATACCATTATTTGAATATAGAAAATTATTGAAAAGGTCACCTACTTTAACATATAAAGTGTGTGTTGGACTGAATAATTTGTGTCTTCTTCTGGATTAAGCATTAACTGAAATAGAGTCAAGATTCATTTAGTAGCAGAGTATGTCTGAAATTTTGTCCCTGAGCATCGTCAAAAATTAGAAAGCCCCAAAATTGATTTAATAGGAAGAGCATAAATTTGGGGGCTGGACTAAGAATTATAGAGGGAAGAATGTTGAAATGCTAGGGAATATTTTATGCAAACATTCATAAATCCACTAATTGAAACCAAAGCTACATAATACTCAACTCTTTCCATTAAAGGGAGAGTAATATATAAATTTCATTCTATAATAAATAGTGATTTTGACTAAAAATAATAGAGGTTGACAGGCTCTTATATATCGGATTAATTGATAAAATGTGAAAGAAAAGAAATGAAGACTGTATAGAATACCTCAAGTGTAGAAACATAAAGGACACTATACAAATCTAAAATGGCCCAATAGCCTCCCCGGTGGCGCAGCGGTTGAGCGCTGGGTTGCGAAGCTGCCTGCAGCCTCTGCAGCACCGGTTCGATCACCAGCTGCTCCCCGGCCATGGGAGGAGGGTCCCACATGGCGCGCAGACCTCTCCTGCCGCCCGCTGCTCCCCTCAGCAGTGTACTTTGGTCCTTCTGCCTGCTCTGCTCCCCGCTCTGGCTCTGGTGAATTCTCTCACCCTCCCGCGCTTCTGACTGTACCCAGTGCTTGTATAAATAAATAAATAAATACATCTTTAAAAAATAAATAAATAAATAAATAAAATGGCCCAATATAAAAATATATTTAAAAATAAAGTGTTAAAATAAAGTAGATTTTAGATGTTTAAAGATAATAATAAAAATGAGTTCTGAAGCAAATGAGTTAAGCAAAAGAATCAAGATTTGAAAATGAAAAGGTCAGATCTTTTAGTAACAAACTTACTTAAGGTCATGGTAATAACAACATCTTTATTCAGTCCTATAATCAGAATAGACTTATCCAAAACATCACATTCACCCTTAGTTTTCTTCTTGTCAGTGGAAATGGATACACCTATGAAAACTACAAGTTAATGATTAATTAACAATTTCCTGACTTACATTAAAAATATGATCTTCTATTGGAATAGCCACAGCAGTTCAGCCAATACCCTTTCTTCTACAGCTCCTAAGGCTGATTAACGCACTTGCATTTTCTTTTTCCTACATGTTAATGTATTTATTCTATTCTAATTGATCCATGAGTCATAAAGTAGCTTTTAGAGAACTTCAAGTATTCGTGCTGCCATTATTTATTGAGATTTTACTTTGTAAGCACTTGATAACTTCCCCTTGCTCATTTCTCTTATACTTGAATGTTTAGTACTCTTGGGAGTGGTGTTTCTGATGGTTATTTAAACTGACATTTTGATTTATTTAGCAGTCTTGTTAGAAAGAAGAACATAAATTCATTCTGTGGACAAAAATTTCTGTAGACTGTTGAGCAGGATTGTGATGATTTTAGCAAGGAAAGGTCAAATTATCAGCCAGTTGATAGACATTCCATTTAGCCATCTTGACATTCCATCCTTATCAAAATTTAATTTTCTTTTCCTTTCACAAAACAAATTGTAACAGTCCCTTCCAGGAAGTAATAATTTTGGTGTTAATCAATGAAAAATAGAGGGTTGGTAAGAAAAATATAGCAAGGGTAGAATTTATGGAACCTGGCCACTAGTTAGAAATGGATGTAGTAAGGTTAAAAGAAGGAAGTCTCACGTGTTAAATCTGGTCAGAAATATAAAATATGTGGTTTGGCAGAAGCTAAGAGGAGTTGGATGCTGGACAAATTTGAGAGAGTTCAAAGCTGTTGTTACAAACTTGGCACTATTAAAATCAGGAAATATTTAGAATATCTATAGTATAGTTGTGTTATTATTACTTCTTGATTATCCTTTGTTGAATTTTTAATATGTTCTATATCAAAGATACTCAAACCAAACATATTATTATTAAATGAATGTGATTCAGAAATTGGTCTCAATACATTAAGCAACTAATATTGGCCACTTTGGAAACTACATAAGCTAATCACAATTAAAATTCCTTCCGTAAATGGAACTTATAAATTTAGGGAGGATGTGTGGGAAAAGGAAGGAACACCAACTTTGTCAGATAGAAATGGTTGAGTCAGAAACTGGTAAAGCCAGCTAACACTGATTTCATTACATACTCCATCCAAATCCCAATCATTTTATATGGAAAAGTTGGGATAATGTAAATTTATGCCAATTTTATTTAACAAGTATTTACTGAATGTCTAGTGTGTGATAAGCAAAACCCCTAATACCAAGGACCTTTCTTTCTGTTCAGGGAGCCAGATAATAATTCAAAATAAGTAAAGTGTATAATATCCAGAAGGCAACAGTACAGTGGAGAAAAATGAAGCAGGGAAGGACGATGAGGAGTGCAGAGATATAACAGTGGGTCCAATTTAAAT